GGAATCAGAAGGCTCAATTTCTCACTGGTTCAACTGTCCAATCTGGTCCAGGTCTGACAATACTGGTCAGACCATAAAACTTCTCCCTATCAAGAAGACTGAAGGAAAGTAACATTAATATACTTGCTTCATTTTCCTTCCATAACAAAAATGCCAAGTCCATCAATCACCAGAAGATCATGCTTACCAAAATCCCAGCAATCACTAACCGACATAAATGATTCATGGAAAATGCCAATATTATAAAGTCGAAAAATGCAGATAAATAGAAAAAGTGCTCAAGTTTCTACATAATATTTTAGTGTATACATACATGGTGACGCCATCCAGAGACACTTGACAGCTGACATCAACATCAAGACAGTATGAGTCGGGTGCCTATATCACCTTGATGAATTTTAAAAACAAAGTCCGCAGAACAGCTCTCATGTTGCCACCATAAAGAGGCTAAATCATCGTACAATATAAAGAGATCAAGTATTTAGACACAGAGTTTTAGCCAATAGAGTTTGGAGTCTTTCCTTCTAGAAGTCCAGAGAAGCATGTATGATACATACTTCACCTAAATTGATGTTCAATAAGTGGTTCTGCACAAGGCCCTGCTCAACCAAGTCATCTAGTTGACAGTATACTCATCTATCAATCAACCACAAAGCCAATTTAGTATAAACTTCATTTTAAACAAAGTGCCAAGACCTTTAGGTTTTATTGTTCTACATTCAGGCAATAAGATTTTATTTTATTTTATTGACCTTGTTAAATGGGGCACTATTGTTTTACCAGCAACAGTACATAAATTCATATAAGATGACATATAAATTAATGCCACTGAAAGCTTTAAGAAGCCATTGTGATAAACAACAAGATGGTTTCATATCCACCCAGTTAAGAACTCCTACAAAAAAATTAAATCAAATTCCCATACAAGGGAAGGCAAATATTACCAGAAAATCTAGCAGCAAGGTCTGCACAAAGTTGCACATCAACAGAATAGCTCAGGAAATCCTCATTTTTCCAGTTTTCAGCTGCCAGTTTTCAGGAAATTCCTATCCACTCTCTTATGCTTTCTCCTTTCCATGTATTTGGATTTGTGCTTCTTATTTTCCTCAAAATCAGAACCATAAGCACCAGTTCGGCTTTTCCTACCAACCTTTTTCCCTGATTTATGAACTTCTATTTTGTAAACTCGGTCACTTCCCTCAATATTTCTCAAATGAGAATGCTTCTTTTCATCAGCTTTTCGACCTTCTCTGAGACATCGTCTCTGTAACTCTTCATATAAAGAAGAATCTCTTTCATGTTCATACACAGATGGTTTTTTGTCCTGGGCATGCTCGATTATATAGCCTTCTCCCCTTAGCCTCCCTGGCCCATATTCAACTTCTTCCAACATTGGTGATGTGCGCTGAATAGGGCTTTCAGGATGATCGGTCCCGATTGAAGCTTTCTCACTGCAGAGGAGTTTGATGTCATATGTCTACAGAATTTGTACATATAGGTTTTCCACAAATATTAGTAAATAAATGAAGGGAGCAAAAAAACCGAAATGACTATACCTTTTTCTGTCATCGTCTTTTTTCCTTGGCAGCATGTCATCTGGACGATTCCAACCTTCAACAGAACCACAGCTAGCTAATCTTTCAAGGGAATATTCTTCTTGCTTAAGAACCTTTGTAAGAGTTTTTTTCAGACCATCACTTATGGATGAATGCCTTGTTCTTTTTCGTGAGGAACCAAAAATGTTATTTCCATGATCCCTAAAATATTAGAAATCCATAAGAAAGAATAAAACAAAATTAATATAACTAAGAAGTCAAAATTGACAGAACAGTCAATGTCAATCCTACCTGTAGAAATAAGTTCCTCCTCACTTGCTCCTGAATTGTCATGATGAATAATATGATCTCTTAGTTGCTTGACAGGACTTGGCTTGTCATGGTGGTGTAATTGTTCTCTTGTTTGCCTAAAATGTTAGCATATCAAAGTCAGTAAAGAAGAGCATAAACATTATGACATTTTAATGCAATACCATGCTACAGAGTACAGACCTATCTTCGCTGGGATTCATTCTCCGTGGATTTGGTGAAGTTTCTGATGGACTTCGAGACATTTCTGGTGATCGTGACAATGCAGACATTTTCTGATGGGCCTTCCTTTGATAAATTGAATGCCCATTGCATGCCTGATCAGACTGATCAACCTCATCTCTCTCAGGGCTATGATGAACAGGAGACATTTTCTCACGGGTCCTATATGGAGGACTACATGAAACGACAAAGTATGACTTAGGCAAACCATGTTCCAAAACAACACCATGGGCTCAAAGAAAGAAAGAAAAAAACTACCTTTGAGATGCAGAATCCTCATGTATTTTCTGTTATCCACTCCATTAATGGAGAGGTCACGATCCCTACTCAAGCTCCTTCGGCTTCTGTCTGCAGGATTGTAACTTCTATAAGGACTATGACTCCTGTAAATAGATTAGTAGATTAAAAACCAATATTTTTATTATAAAATGAAAAGTATAGAGCAAATTAAAAGTCAAATACCGATTTCCTTGTCCAGAGGATCGTTTTCTGTCTTGGGGACCTGGGAAGAGGTGACCTCCTTATCAGTGGTGGAGACCGATACCGAGGTGATGAGACCTTCCCATGCCGCAAACCCTACAGATCGTCACCAAAAAACAAACCATAGAGAATAGGAAGAGACCAGCAAAAGAAGAAGAAGAAGAAGAAGAAGAAGAAGAAGAGAGAGGGAGGGAGGGAGGGAGAGTAATGGGAGGCCGGTGGTTTCCGCATTGCTCGAGTTCTTCGGCGCAATGAGATAACCGATGGTGAGGTAGTGAATCCGCGTTGCTCAAGTTTTTCCGGCGAGAAGGAGAGGATGAAGAAACGTTGAGAAATTTGCAGAAGTCGTCGCTGGCCAGAATCGTCGGGTTTTGTCGTCGTTCCTTCTGACATTGGAAAATGTTGTTGACGGTCCAGAGAGCCTTCAAAGACGGAGAAAGAAGAGGGGATACGTGTAAATCATGCAAAGAAAAAATCAGAAAGGTATCTTTAATGAATATACGTACCGCACATGCATTTCAAACCAGGGAGAACGTGGGAATTTACAGTAAGATTCCGTTTTGCAAAAGGGAAAAGCACCGAATTCGGATCTCCTGTTAACAAGAACCCTATGCACATCTACCCACAAATTGGGAACTCCCGTGTAGAGGATGAGATGTTCTATATATATAAGTATATATATAAGATGTGTATTAATGTATTAAGAATTTATTTAATGCATCCCAAGGATTAAAGTATTGGTATCGGGTATTGTATCAGATAATTTCGATATAAATATGTTTGTGAAACGTACGAATACGGACGAAAAATATGAAAATGCTTGGATACGTTAAGGAAATACATATAAATTTAATAATTATATTAATAACTTCAAATTTAGTGTAAAAATAATATATAAATACATAATAATTGTATATTTTAATCGTATATTTGAAGAAATATATTATTATTGATATAACGGGATGTATAGATATTATACAATTTTATTAATAATGCATCAATTTTTATATTTATTAAAATCCAAGGCACAAAAAATATGCAACCATTACATTTGAATTATTATATCAATTCTTTTATTTTACTATTTCAATTTTTAACATCAACAAAAGAATCAACTAAAAATTAATTTGCAAATGTTTAGTAAATAATATTTTCGCTTTTGTAAACAATAAATATATTTATATAAAATGTAAATGAAATTTTGAAGATGCATATCATATGAAAATTCATAAATTTTAATTACAAAAATAATTATTCATTATTAATATTTTTATTTTATAAAATTTTTAAAATAAAAATTTAATTTTTATTTAAATATAGATTAGTGGATTTGATAGATTCAATTTATATTATATTCTCAAATATTTTGTAAACAATATTTTATCTTTGTAATAATAAATACATTGTTATTTAATGAAAATTGAAATATTAATTAATAATTTATAAAATAATTATTATAATTTATCAAGTCTACATAAATAATTTTAAGTATTAAAATCATTATTCTATTAATAATGTTTTTATTTTTATAAATATATTGAAATTAAAAATCATTTATATATATGGATTTGATAAATTATCTATTTTATTAGTTTATAAAATAATAATTTTGAATATTATTCTTGTTAATTTGTACATGGAATTATTGGATATACTATTTGTTTAGATGAAATGCAATAATTAATTTAATAAAAGATAATTTATTTCATTCGTTATTATGAAGTGGAAGATGGTTTGATGGTTAATACACTTGCGCACTTGGTTGGTGCGCAATTCAGGTTTTGGGGATAGAATCACGCTAAAAGCATTTTTTCTCGTGAAGGCTATGAAGCACTTGTACGATATGCGGGTTTGATACATCTCTGTATCGATACGTATCAACCAATACATTGCGATACATGCCGATACAATGTTGTATCAGACTGATATGCACGACTAATATGATACAATATCAGTCATGGCGTATCTTGTATTTTAACCCTTGATGCACCCTATCAATATTTATGTGGTGAAGGAATCTATAAAAACCCCAAATATCCATTATTCTCTTAAGCCTACATACATCCTATTTGCTATATTTGTGTTGCTCTCGCATGACAAATGTAAATCTCACCATTACACTACACTACAACTTAGTATTAAAGTAGAATAGGTTTAACTTTAATTTTATAAGCTATAAAATTACTACTTTAAGTATCAATCTTTGTTTTGTAAGGTGTAAGTTTCTGTTGTAACTCTTGATTAAACATATCCCAGTAGCTAAAATTTCACAAACTATTAAAATTGTTTCTTTCCTATGTGTTTATATCAATACATAAGCGTTGTATAAATTTCACTGATGTATGCATATCTATTATCATTCCACCATGTGATCCAAAGAATTTGAACTCGTCCAATCAATAAATCATTAATACAATAATGGTAAAAGGGTTTATTGGTCAGATTGTTTAGTTTCTATGAATGACCCTTGAACCTTTTTCATAGCAACTTACTAGTCGATTTGGTTCTGGGCCCAAAATTAGGGTCTGGATCGAGACTGGGACAGTGCATTTTCTTGTCAAATGGAAACGGTTCTGTCCAGTCCCGATCCAAACCCAATCCGTTGACAGTCCTACCCACGATTAACCCATAGCCAATCTCAACTAATCATTCATCTCTATACCAGTCAGTTGAGATCTCTTTGCAACATTGCTCGTATATAAATGTGACTCTGGATCTGCTGCAAGGAAGAAATGTACAATGGGCTATGAGACCCAATCAACTAATCAAGTCTAAACGCCTGTTTTGTAGAAGCCAGTTCTACACGCCTTGTTTTGTAGCAGATCTGGATAGGCCATTCTATACTCTTCAAATTCACATCAACCTTATATCTATCTATTTGCTGCTACTTGTCACACTTGATGTTTGCCATCCAAAGCTTCAAAATTTTAACTCAAGAAACACATGCAGAAAAAGAAAAAGGCTTTGGCTGCATTTGGCATAATGACTTATCTCTTTTGTGTTGTTAAAAACTCAGTATTAAAAAGGCATTTTAACTACAAAAAGGAGACAAATCCTTAAAATAAGGAATGCCAAATGCAGCCTTAGTATGAAGGTACAGCAAAGGGAATAACTGGTGGAGAGTTCCCTCTGGGATAAATAATGATGCAGAGGGGCGAATATCCCCAACCATGTAGCCATATGGAAGATTCTTAGAAGGCATTTTAGACCTGATGGAGGACGGTTTGACCCAACTTATGAAACAATGACGTGTGGACATTGACTCAGCACGAGCAACAGCTCAACATTATAGCCTAGTGATGGGCCCATAAGGCAGCTCGCTGTATCGTAGCCCAACATAGGAGAAGCTCGCCACGACGCGAGCTCCGGGTTCCCCGAGCTCCCTTCAAAGGAGTACCTCGAGGTAACTTTAGCTCGCCGGGACCTGCCTGGCTTGCACCACCACCCCAGGGGGCTAAGGCACCCCAAGCTACCTCCGAGCTCGGGGTCCCCTGACCTTTCCTAATACCCGAGCTCCCCCCAGCGGATCCCGGGTCACTCCCAGACAGGAACACACCAACCCGCCTATAGACACCCCGAGGAGAAGGCACCTCGGGCCGGATAGCTCGGCTTAGCTTGCCCTAGGCAGCTCGCCGCTTATAAGATAGCCCGGCACAGGGTACCTCGCGGAAGGGTGGTTCGGAATACCACAGGAAGACCTCTTGCTCGACCACCGTACCCGACAAATCTAGAGGCGGCAGCCATATCCCTCGTCAGACAGCGTCGTGCCCGCAATCTTCAAAAGGTGCTTTACACCTGACAGGCACGTACCCTGCAACGACGGCCCCGCGCGTGCCACCTCAACCCTGCCAGTAACGACTGTGGCAGGTTGGCAGTGGCGGTTATACCTGCCCTATCAGAGGCCAGTGGGCCGGATGTAACAGATTTCTGCTACAAGGAGTTTAATATCAAGGAGGACAGGTATGTTCAGGATTATCATCTTCTACACTCGCGCTATCTGCACTCTTAGCCTTTGTCTTCTCATTGCTTCTCCTACAGAATACTAACTTAAGCATCGGAGTGTTCCCGCCGGGTAACCCCCCCCGGGAATTCTTCTTCTTCTCCACCTCAGGTATTTTCCAGGAGCCACGTGAATGCCAGATAGGAGTGACCGGATCACGCTACATCAAGATCTTTTCCTTGATTGATTTCAAAAGTCTTGTACTATAAACCTAACTTCCATGTGGGGAAAGCTTTTTTTAATTATTTTTAGAAAAGTTTGAAATTACAATCCATAGTGTTCCCTATATGATGGACAAAGCTGAATTAAAAGCATCATCCCTTCATATGGCTGGAGTATGAGTAGAGGTGTAAATCGGGCCATCTGGATTGAACCTGGATTGAACTAAACCTAAGACTGAGTTTGGAAATAATGCAAATGGAGTGTAAATCCTGGTTCAGGGTAAATTTGCACTCTGGTTCACTTTTTCCTGTGTTTAGCAACATTACAGCTAAAAAGGAATTAAATTGATAATAAGATGTAAAAGTACATCAATAAAAAGGAATTAAATTTGCATTCAAGTGGGCTTTTGATAAAAAAAATTCTTTATTGGAATTTATGTTTGAATCCATTACAGCTAAAAATCCTTTTGATAAAAAGATAAATTTGTCAGTACAAAATTAACCCAATTTTACATTTTATATCAACCATTTTACACTCTACATGTTTACATTCACACTTGTTTACATCGCTTCCAAACGCAACCTAACAGTCAACCATATATGATTAACAGCCAATTTGGCTCTTTGGATTTTCACGAAACATAGTTTATGGGCTGTTTGTTCGTGTGGGCCCCACACACAGATAGTCAGAAGCCGCTGCACTTCCGC